AACGAAATATCGCATTGCCATGACCAATAGCTCATTGGAACGGTCTTGGAAAGGGCTTTCCAGAGACGTTTTCTGTGTGGTGATAGCTCGAAAAATGATCGAGCGGCGATAAATTGAACGCGCCATTTCGATCTGAACATTTTTCTTAGTTTCCGTCCGACGATTTTTGCGACTTTCAAGGCATTCAAGGGGATTTCCCAATGACGTGTCAAAGGCAACATGACGAATGAGTATATCGTTTGAATTGCTTGAATCTCACGAGTTCGATGCAGTTTGAATCGTAGTTCTACGTTGAGTATGAGCCCCGAACCGAAGGAAATAGTTGTGCGTGGTCTTGATGCCAACCTGGAGCGCGATAGGGACACTGTTGGCGAGGCTAGGGGCGTCCTTGGGGTGCGGTGTGCTCTGAAAGCACGTGGAAGATGACAAGCAGGAAAAGAGCTTTCTAGTAACCCATACATTGTGAAAATCCGTTGAGAAACAAAAAAGTTGTGACAATTTGTTTGTTGCTATCTCCACAATTGTACTGATGCACTGAATCACAGTGCCCAGGTGCAGTAAATGCACTGTGACCCTGAAAGGGTTAAAGGGGAAGTATACCCTAAAATCAAATTTTCACCAGTTGTAGTCTTAGGGGTGCTGAGTCGAATGGTCTTGGTCCGAGGAAGCTGAGACGCTCCCTTCCTCCTTTATTCCCAATCGAACTCGCGCACTTCCACCGAAACTGGGTGACTGCGCCCTACTAGATGGGGATTTGTATGCAAAATGTCACTAAAAGCGCCATTTCGTTCTTATAAAAGCACGGATGACCGCCATTGGCCCATATGTTGTAGTCTTTTGGACGCTGAGTCGACTGGTTTTGGTCCGAAAAGGCTGCGATGCAGCGTTCCTCCTTTATTCCCAATCAAACATGGTTGAACAAGCGGGCATGTGCTCCTGCGTACACCAGTCACCTGGTCACCCTGCCTGCAGGGTACAACTTACTAGCCTGTTTGACCTTTTTTGGGTGCAGTCCTGTCACTCGAGTTGAACTCGAGTTGAACCTTGGTGTGAAAGTTGTCGCCTGCTGGTGCGGTGACCAGGTGATTTGGGCACCCAGGAGCACGTGACCGCTTGTTCAACCATGTTCGATTGGGAATAAAGGAGGAACGCTGCATCGCAGCCTTTTCGGACTAAAACCAGTCGACTCAGCGTCCAAAAGACTACAACATATGGGCCAATCACGGTCATCCGTACTTTTATAAGAACGAAATGGCGCTTTTAGTGACATTTTGCATACAAATCCCCATCTAGTAGGGCGCAGTCACCCAGTTTCGGTGGAAGTGCGCGAGTTCGATTGGGATTCAAGTAGGAAGGGAGCGTCGCAGCTTCCTCGGACCAAGACCATTCGACTCAGCACCTAGAAGACTACAACTGGTGAAAATTTGATTTTAGGGTATACTTCCCCTTTAAGCATCATAGCAGTTACGTCCCAAATCTCATTATGTCCCATTGATGGAAGACCACCATAACGGCGCGTTCAGACTACCGTGAACCCCGTCAAACCGTGAATGCCGATAAACCGTGAAGGACATTCACACTACAGATAAAGTAACGTTACCGGTACGTACGTTTTCCACCTCTCACCGCGGCGCTGAGAAGGGATTTTCCCTTTTTCACAGCGCGCATGCAGCCTGAGCACTTTTTTACTGCCGGGAAAACTTTACTGCCGCAGCAGCCGCGGCAGTAAAACTTTTCCGCCGGTAACGTGCCAGTAACGTCACGTGATCAAATCACCTTGGCAACTTTTCCATTCCGTCACTTTTTATCGGTAGTCTGAACGCGCCCTAAGGGCAGGATAGTGCATGGCATATCGACTGCTCTGTTCCACACACACAGGATTCTGGAAGCCTGTGCGGCAACTAACCATATCGAAGACAGAGTCCATCACGATATTCCGTCTTGGTCAAGTTGAATGAATACCGCTTCAAGGGTCTGCCTGTCGGGAAGGCTGGGGCGAGCTGTAAAATCATGTACGATTCGTACGACACGACATACTGCAGTCGTTGCGTCGTTCAACAGCGAACGACGCCAGTCACGAGGCACGGTCCGTGACAGGGTGGACCTAATTTCTTGTTTTTTGGGACTTATTCTCAATTATTTCTCCTTAAATGAAGCGGAATCAAGTTCACAATACCAGTTTTTCATGAACACCAAAAAAGTAGCTTCGAAAGGTGTGCCATTCAAATAATACGTCCAGGAAATGATAAAACAGTCTGTCTGTCACGCTCCTGAACTATCCCTAAATGCCATAAGTGACATCAGACCTTATCTTGCTAAAAGCAACTCAAGTTGTGTTAGCCATTCTGCGAGTTATCATGGGAAGCGCAGTGTTCGAAATGCTAAAAATTTCCAAGTACGAATCGGGAGTAGTCGGCGCACGACGCCGTCTCCTGTTCACACTCAAAATGCAGCTGTTTTGTATGCTTGCGTCCCGTCCCGTCTACGCCCGTCTACGGTATGAAAAGTGGGATCGATCCAACTCTTCCCGTCGCTTCCCGATCCGTACGGCAGTACGGTTGCGTCCCCGTTCCTGGTGTTCACATTGGACGCCGTCAGACTGTCTCGTCGCTTCCCGTCGATCCTTACGTCGCGTCCCGTCGCGCCCCTTGGAATGTGAACTAGTCTTAACGTAGCGTCTGCACCCGCTGTTATTGCATGTGTATACTACTGGTATAGCGGTTGTCATGGTAGTCAAAATGGAGCTCTATCAGTTATTATTATTATTATTATTGCTTCATCCCATAGCTGAAAAAAACAGCCAATCAGAGGGGAGAGGGTGATAGCCAACCACAAGTAGATTGGTGACCACTATGGCATGGGAAATTGCTAAAAAAAGTCGTCTTTGAGGCACCAAGGCATAACGGTAATGGAACAGGCCAGTGGAAAAAAGCACATGAAGAGCCAGCGCGATTGTATAAGACATAGGCAGTAAACCCACAAGCAGATATAAGAACTTGAGGATACAGGGTGGGCAGAGAACAGAACAATGTGAGCAAGACATCCAGCAACAGAGAACAGAACAATGTGAGCAAGACATCCAGCAACAGAGAACAGAACAATGTGAGCAAGACATCCGGCAACAGAGGAATATCTAATAAAACAGACAATTCCTGTTCTGCCATCAGTCTGTACTGTGTAGTCACTGTAGCCGGAGACTACTAACGAAAACGATACTTCACGAAAGGTACACGTTACTTGATTGGCAGCAGTGCCGCTACAGGTCCATCCTGACAAGCATCCTGTGCTCGTATTGCTACAGATTAGGCCACAGCCAACAGATCAGTAATGCGCTTCATTGGAGACTTTTGTAACTTGTTCACCCGCGCTGTTCAACGATACATACCAGCATAGGTTCTGGGTTGGGATGTTGCGCAACACTTCAGTTACACCGGTACGATGATGCAGACCGGTCAGGCTATGATCATCATGGTTCAATGTCAATATGATCGAATCATTGCTCTGCCAGGGCTGGCCTAGAGCAACACCACCACCGCAAGAGGTATTGCCCCAGTGTCCACGCCAACCGTAAACTTGACTCTGTGTCAAGTGTACATCAGTCACTACTGGACTAGAGGATGCACACAAGCACACATAGATACTGGCCCTGTATGTGCCATCTAAGTTATACATAGCTGTATAACACTACCACCGCACTGCTCCAGTCTTGGTAGACTACACACTGAACGGAAGTACCCGTCGGACGACGACCTACGGATGGCCTGGTTGTTGTTAGTGATCTGAATAGCGCCATGACAACGGTTGATATCAAACACCGGCAATTGTCAACTAGGTAGTCCAACTCTGCCAACGGAGCTCTCCGTATTTCAAGGCAAGTTGCATTTTGTTGCTTCCGGACATCTCAAATTCAGTTGCCAAGGGTATGGTTACCAACGAGAATTTTTGTACTAAATGTTTTGTTATCACAAGAGATGACTTGTATTGACGCGACATAGCAGTGGGCTTGATGGTACCCAGACCACCCAGACGACATGGCAGTGGTCTTGATGATACCCAGACCACCCAGACGACATGGCAGTGGTCTTAATGATACCCAGACCACCCAGACGGCATGGCAGTGGGCTTGATGATACCCAGACCACCCAGGCGGCATGGCAGTGGGCTTGATGATACCCAGACCACCCAGACGGCGTGGCAGTGGTCTTGATGATACCCAGACCACCCAGGCGGCATGGCAATGCCAGCAGGGCACGCATCGTGGCACGAGGAGCAGGGCGGCCCGTGAGTGCAGGTATAAGCTTGCTACAAATAGCATACTCCAGGGGCTCCAGGCATGACACAGACATCTCTATGCAACGGCAAAGAAACGACCACTTGCCCGACAGAGCCTGTGTGAATGCCGTATATGCAGATTGCAGCTGGCTGAGTGCAATGTAGTAGCCATAACGGGGACCATGCTCAGGGAGTATACCCCACCAGTGCGGCAATCGTGCAAGCCTGCTAGCCGAAGATCATGAGAGTCATCCGCATACCACTGCTGGAGGGATCCAGTCCTCTCGGCCTGCTGAATCAGTGGCATCATGCCAATTGCATACATCTGCATCGCCAACGGATCACCTTGCGTTTTACCTTCCACTGAAAGAATGCACTCTCCGGCTACGTACATATTCAACGGCCTCCGATAGGTATTAACGAGAACCGAAGCCAGTACAGGACGAGTACAGGACGAGTACAGGACGAGTACAGGACGAGTACAGGACACGCAGGTGCTGAGCATTGTGTAGACAAACCTGGCGATTGAGTCTATTAAATCCGAGGAAGAGAGATGAGCTTGCGAAAGCGTGGGTGTCGATCCCCAGCGCCGAGAGCAGTGACGAGGAGGACTAAAAAAAGTATGAACCCTTATTTTGACAATAAATTCCTCATGGCTAGTTGTCAATCTATTTTGAAGTATGCCTTACCTTCCATCGTACCAAGTTTTATCACCTCCAGTGCACGTG